TTAATAATGTCCATCTGGTTTTGAGCTTATAAAATAAATAAGTCCATATTTTAGGGACCAGAGTGATAATACAATGGGTAGGGTACTTGACTTGCATGTAATTGAGCTGGGTTCAATCTTGGGCACTCCATATTATTTCCCAAGCACCACCAGGTGTATCCCAGAACATAGAGCCAGGAGTAAGCTGAGCACCACCACATGCAGCCAAAAACCAAAATAAAATATGATATTTTACTTATGTTTCTCATTTTATATAGAGTATTACAAAGAATTTTAATCTATATATGCATTAGTTATGGTTTTATGTAAGATATAAATTGTAATTGCAAAAAATGTTTTATTAACTCAGTATTGTGTTCCATATTTTGTGTCGAATATACCATCTTGCAGGTTTGGTTAAAAATGCCTAGAGCTTTTTGAATGAAAAAAATAAGTTGTACAAATACAAAGAAGTTCTTTGAAAATTTTATGTTGGTAAATGCCTGCAAATATATATATATGTATATATATGATAATAGATACACAAAGAAACATGTGAGGAGAATTCTTAATGCTTTTGACATCATCTTCAGAATCTAGTTAATATGCTGTCCTCAGAGAGACTAAAGAAAGAAAAGCAGGTTGCATTGGTTTGTGCCTGTTTGAGTTGTAGAACTACATTATTCACTGTAATGATAATCGGATGTGTCTGTCCAGATTTATGGGTGCACATGCAGATAATCAACTTCTCAAATGCTTCTGTAATGGGGGCATATGGTAGTTGAAAATGTCCTAACAGTTGGGCAGCTGATACGAAAATAATGGGATTTCTAAGTGCTAAGCAGCACCATTTCCATTTCTCAATATGGAATGGTTATAAATTAACCTAATATTTGGACATATAATATGTTTAATTTATTATTACATACCCTCTAAATATTCATACAAAGCAATTTTTATCAATAAAAAAGACAAGTTTTTATATGAAAAAGGATGATTTCTTTCTATTCTGTTTTAAACTTTATTATAATTTTTGGAGTGTTTTTATTTATTTATTTTTAATTTTTTTATTGAATCACCATGAGAACAGTTACAAAGCTTTCAGGTTTAAGTCTCAGTCATACAATGATCAAACACCCATCCCTTCACCAGTGCATATTTTCCACCACCAAAGAACCCCAATATACCCCCATGCCACCCATCCCCTCTTGCCTGTGAAGCAGATGATTTCCACTTAACTCTCTACTTTGATTACATTCATTATTTCGACAAAAGATGCACCTTTATTATTTGGAATTTCTCCCAACAATCAAAATTGATGAAAAGTCATCATGAAATAATTTGTTTTCTATTGCTGGTTATGAAGACCATGTGATGTCACATGGCCGAAGTAGCATGGTCTTCCTAACCAGCAATAGAGGTAGCGGCCACGCAACTTTGGATTTCTGATATTTTACTAATTAAGTCTGGAGGGATTTCTGCCAAAAGCAGAATAGTTTTGAGATTGGTTGATGTGCCTCTGGGTCCATGGCTGTGCCAGTGAGCCACTCTTGAGGGGCAACTCATGGTCTCGGCAGGGCAAGAAGGACATACCGGTTCTGCCCCCCCCCCCCATCCCATGAGGCCGCAGTTGCCCATCACTGGCTACTACCTGGCTGTCTAATGAGCTCTGAGGCCATGGCCACCAGGCCTGGGGGAGAGGGGTGAATGGCAGAAAAGGCAGATGCCCTTTCCCTCCCGGGGGGGGGGGAGGGGGGGAGAGACTGATTTTTTTTTTACAGCACATATAAACAGTGTCAGAAAGTACTTGGAGATGACAAGCTATGAAGTTGTCTCTGTCTGTCTGTCTGTCTGTCTAGATCTAAAATCCTAATATTTTCCAGTTAATATATCAGAAATGGGCTGGAGCGATAGCACAGCAGTAGGGTATTTACCTTGCACACTGCTGGACAGCCAAGCCAGGTTCCATTCCTCCACCCCTCTCAGAGAGCCCGGCAAGCTACCGAAAGTATCTCGCCCGCACGGCAAAGGCTGACAAGCTACCCATAACGTATTCAATATGTCAAACACAGTAACAACAAGTCTCATGATGGAGACATTACTGGACCCGATTGAGAAAATCGATGGACAACGGGAGGACAGTGTTACAGTGCATATCAGAACATTGAAGATTTGGCCTAAATAGAGCATTTTCTGAGTATGCCAATTATTGGTCATTTAGCTCAGTTGGTTCCACTATCTATTTAAAAAACAAAGTTAAAATGCTAAATGATTCTATAGTCTCACAAATCAGTTATTGCTCTTTCAATTACTATAACAAAAATAAATTGTGACTTTGGAAGAATTGAAATGATCATACTGTGGACGGGGTGTTTGTTTCTCAAGTAACCAACCCAGGTTGGATCCCAAGCACCACATTTGGTCCCTTGAGCTCAGATCCAGGAGTAAGATCTGAGAACATTTTAGTGTGATCCCCAAACAAAGGAGCAAACAAAGAAAATTAATGTGTGTAACAACTTTACTATAAAACCACTTATTTGGGGTTGGAGCCAAAGCACTGCGGGTAGGGTGTTTGTCTTGCACGCAATTGACCCGGGTTCGATCCCAGTATCTTATATGGTCCCCCAAGCACCACCAGGAATAATTCCTGAGTACAGAGCCAAGAATAATCCTGAGCATCGCTGGGTGTGACCCACAAAGCAAAACAAGGAAACAAACCAAAAAAGCCCACTTATTCTCACTACTTAATGATAAAGGGAAGAAATGACACATTCGAAATCCTGATGTAGGCCAAACTGAAGGGGTATGTGTGCAGCTTGCCTTTGCAAAACTGGTTTTGTAGAGTTTTTTTCCTAAACAGCCCTTGCTTGGGGCTTATGTTTTAAGAGACTGTTGCTTGGATGGTGAACTTTGAACTTTTGGTGGTCTTTCAGATTCCTATCACAGCCTTTTGTTGATAAAGTGTTGCCTGTCCTCAGGGGGCCCTGCGTTCTCTGGGCCAATCTTTTTTTTTTCTTTTTAGAGAAAGGAAAACATTTTTATTGATAAGAGATTTTTTTCTTTTTTTTTGTTATTGACTTTATTTTTAATTTTTATTAGTGAAACACCATGAGGTACAGTTGTAGACTTACAAATTTTTGTGCTTGGGTTTCAGTTATACAATGATCAAGTACCCATCCCTCCACTAGTGCTCATTTTCCACCACCATGGGTCCCAGTATCCCTCCCACCCCACATTTCCCACATCCCACCCTGCCTCTGTGGCAGAGCATTCCCTTTTGTTCTCTCTCTCTCCTTTTGGGTGTTGTGGTTTGCAAAAGAGGCATTGAGTGACAATCAGGTTTGGTCTATAGTCTACTTTCAGCATGCATCTCCTATCCTGGAAGGATCCTCCCAACACCCTTTATTTGGTGCACCCTTCTCTATCTGAGCTCCCTTTGCCCCTAGCATGTGTGGCTGACCTCCAAGCCATGGAGCAAAATTCCTGGTACTAATCTCGGCCACTCTTGGGTGTTAGTCTCCCATTTTGTTACTTTATGTTCCCCAGATGAATGCAATCTTTCTATGTATATCCCTCTCTTTCTGACTCATTTTGCTTAACATGATACCTTCCATGTAGTACCACGTGTATGTAAATTTCATGATTTCATCTTTTCTAACAGCTACATAGTACGTTAGTTTCAGGTGAACTCTCAACAGGCCACACTTCCGAAATCCTGAAAAATTTCTGTTCTATGGCTTTAAGGTTACTTTAGGGCTGATAATAATGTAACTTCTCTATATTGATTGTGTAACTTCTACAGAAATGCTGCCCTTTTTACCTGCCTTCTTCAGCATCACTATCTGTCTGAAGCATTGTTAAATGTTGCGTGACTATACACACACACACACACACACACACACACACACACACACACACATGAGGAAGTATGGCTGCCACTGTTTATCACAGTGTCTTAAAGGACAACTTCTCTTTCCTGTGCTAGACAAAGGTTTAGCAATTAAGTGTCTTGGTATCTTTTCTCCCTATCATTTTGATGATAAAAATGTCAGTTGAAGAATTGGTTAAAACCCAATTTCTCGGCCTGTTTAGTAAAATTTCTGCCATTTGACAGTTAACTTAGACTTGTTCATTTTCCATTTTCTTTACTATAGCTATCGATCACAAGGTTGTGATGACAAGTAGCTAGGATTACATGCTTGAAGAATCCCTTGATCCAAAGCCTACTGTTTATGGGTGAACTCAGGAGTAAAGAACTAACCAAAATAGAGAGGATTGTGGGGACACCATGCCTACTCTCTGTCATATATTTACCACCTTAAAATAAAGCAAGCACACTGCTTGCTGGCGGGAGAGATCTTGAGCACAGAGCCAAGAGTAGCCCCTGAACACCAACACCAGGTGTTGCCCAAAAAACAAGGAATGTCCAAAGCTGAATAGTATATCACAAAGAAAGTGAGGGTAGGATGCTATTGGGGAGAAAGGAGGTCCACAGAATAAATGGAACTAAATCAGTTTGTACCTAGAGCTATGTATGAGTCTATTCATGAAAACACATGGTACGTGTTATGGAAAGAGACATTTTATTTGTACTTGCTTCTACAAAATAATGAAACAAAAATAGGAACATATTTTACTTATATTCCTCATTACAAGTTTAATGTCATAGATATAAATATCACTTTAAACAAGTATATGCAGCATAGAATTTCTTGCATGGATGTGCTTCATCTACACACCTAGTCATCTGATAATGAAGGAACCCACATATATGTGTGTGATTACATCTGTGTTACTAGTGAGTAACATAAATATATACATACACATATATGTGATGTATATCGTATAAACACACGTGTTTTATTCCTTTAATATCCAGCTAGAATATGAAGTCATTCATTCTGTCTTTGTTTTTAATTAAGGACAAAAGGAAAAGTCTAGCTTATTGGTGCCCATCTGGTCTAAGATGTCTCATTTTACATTTATTCTAAATGATAGCGTGTTGGTAATGTCTTTCCCAGGAGAAGAAGTTGACAGGCAGCTGTGCAGAGATGCCATCTTCCCCATCCCTGTCGCCTGTGATGCTCCTTGCCCCAAGGACTGTGTGCTCAGCATGTGGTCTGCATGGTCCTCCTGCTCACACACCTGCTCAGGGAAAACCACGGAGGGAAAACAGATCCGAGCGCGGTCCATCCTGGCCTACGCGGGTGAGGAAGGTAAGGTCACCTGGGTTCCTTTCAGAAGTCAGCACATACATTTTGTTTATCTAGCCTGGATACAAATTTTTCCACAAAAATCAACCAGCAGAATCGCAGCCAGCCTAGGAGATTTAATATCTGTTGACATATCAGGCAGCCTTTTACTTGTCCAAAATTTGTCTCAAAATAGAACCTTAATTAAAGGGAAAACATTTTTAAAAGTGAATTCACTTTACCTTTTCTCCCTTCTAATAGTTCAACTTATTTCCAAAGTGTTAGACCCGTGACAAGGTGTGAAAATGACTCTCAGAACTCCAGATGTTCAGATTCTATTAGTTTTTTCTCTCTTTACAGAGTCAGTTTTTCCCCCATTGAAAGTACATTTTACCTTCCTATAAGTAGACACATATATTCCATAATAAAGTTGGGGGAAAACATAAACATGGCTATAGTTTGACTGAAAAGTACATAGCTTTCCTGCTATTCAGGTTTTTAAATGTTACTCCTGAGATCAGTCTGATTTTTAGATTTGTAAAATTCATAGATTGTGCATACTTTTAAGATGTGTTGCTCCCAAATCACTTTTCTCTTTAGTATATATAAAGCATGTTTTGTCACATATTCATAACTCATATATGCAAGCTTTATTATTGAGAGCTCTGGACTCTTGGTAATTGTCTCTTACGTGTATATCCAAGTACGGATTTGGCCTCTGTGTCACAGGTTGATAAAATGTCATACTTAATCTTGTCATACTGGAAGCTACATAGGAATAAGGAAAGCATAGAAGTAAATCAAGGTCTATCACATTATGCCTTGTTTGTCTCAAGAATAGTGGTGTTTGTTATTTAAGTATTATCAAGCTAAATTACAATTGTCATTCATAGTTAGCATTGAGAAATGATTTCTATCTTCAGTTAGCATATGCTTTGCCATATAATCTCCCTGATCTGTGTGCATGTGTGCTGTAGAGGAAGAAATCCACGAGGTCACACATGCAGCATATATTAACCCACAATCCCATCCCCCCACATAATAGTTTTTGGAGACATTGACAGGTTGCGTGTATATTATTTTTCATGCATGTATCATTTCTGTGATCAAACAAATTGTATTATTCTTTGATCTTAAAACTTGTTTGTATTCTGATTTAACAAAACTTGTTAGCTTTGTATCAATACACATGCATAAAAATATAACTATTAAAGTATGAGAGATTTTTATCTGCTTCTAAAAAAATCAACTTCTGGGGAAAATTCGGATTTTCTTTCGGGTGTCCAAAAGCTTAACATCATCTATTTGATAGAAAATTAGGTGTGTCTATATATTGAATCCAAAAGAAAAATTGAATATTTTAGAGGGGGAATGATATTCCTTGACTTTTCATACAGTAAGTATAACCTTGCATATATTATATTCAGACTTCAGTCCCTATCAGTTCAAATTATGTCTTAGGTTTCATTAAAATTAGATCTGTGGTCACCCTGCTTCTTGTAAATCCATTATATTCTGCAGATACTTGGTGTGTAACTAGTAACGAGTGACTTTTCGCCCCATGAGTCACATATCAGGGAATTTGCTTTGCTTGCAGAACTCACCAGATCATTATTTCTAAAGACAGGATGCTTCACACTGAAAGGTCATGAAATGCTTCAAAAGCAAAAATTTATGAGTGCTTTTTGATATGTATCATCCATTTAGTTCCAAAGAGTAGTACTTTGATAATTTTAAATAAGTCAAGTAGCTCTTTCATAAGCAAGGTATACTGGAAAATTATAGATGTTTACATAGTAAATCACAAATTCATGAATTTGCAGTGTAATTTTAAATGGAAAACACAGTGGAAACCCTACCAATAGCAAATCTACTACTATTTGTTTCTGTTAACGATAGTAAAAGTCTCATGTGTTAATGTGAAAATGCTTAATGAAATCCTTCAAAAACTATTTAATTTTTACTATTTGCTGGCCATTAAAAGATATTTTTCTTCTAAAAAGTAAGTGATAATTATGAGATATTTATTTTTGTTTTTTAGATCAGATTTGTTGATATAACTTTGGTTTACAAAAGTATAGAAATTTATATGGTCTAGGGGACAGTATTACTCATCACAAAAGGGCAAATGGCCCTCCATCACACTCTGGGACAAACTTTGGTAACCTCAGTTTTATGAGCAGAGTGTAAGGGTTCAAATTCATTGTACATTACTTATTTCTCCTTTGTTTTTTATTTTTCTTCCCACAGACCTCATATGAATGAGATCATCTAGACTTTGCCATTCTCCTTCTGGTTTATTTCATTTAGCGTGATCCCTTCCAGTTCTATCAATGCTGATCAAAAAATGAGCTTTTATCTTTTCCTGGTGCTAAGTAATAATCCATTGTATATATGTACAACATCTTGATCCATTCATCTATCATTCAATCAGATACTTTTCAGATCTTGGCTATTTATAAATACCATACTAATGAATATAGGTGTACATATTCATTTCAACTTAGTGTTTTTATGTTCTTAGGAATTTTTGTATCGTATCGGAGAGCCCGGCAAGCTACCAAGAGTATTCGATATGCCAGACACAGTAACAACAAAGTCTCCAATGGAGATGTTACTGGGCCCGCTCGAGCAAATCGATGATCAACGGGAGGGCCTTTACTTTACTTTACTTTTATGGTGGTTCTAGTTATAATTTTTTTCCAAAACTCTATATTATTTTTCATAGGTAGAGAACCAATAATGAATAAGAGTTCCTTTTCATCCACATCCTATTCAATATTTATTTCTAACCTTATTTTTCTAAAATTTTTCCCACTTAAAAAAATTGAAAAATTAATTACAGAGATATACTCATTTACAAAGTTGTTCATGATTGGATTTCAGTCATATAATGTTCCAACACCAGTCCCTTCACCAGTGTAGTTTTCCCACCACCAGTGGTCCCAGTTCCTCTCTGCCTCCCATCCCACCACCTGCCACTATGGCAAGCACTTTTCTTCTCTGTCTCTCTGTCTCTGTCTCTCTGTCTCTCTCTGTCTTTCTGTCTGTCTGTCTGTCTCTCTCTCTCTCTCCATCTCTCTCTCTCTCTTTTTGGGCCTTATGATTTGCAATACAGATAAGGAGAGGTTATCAGGTATATCCTTTTACCTGTGTCCTTCACCCCTCACACACACACACACACACACACACACACACACACACACACACACCTGTGGCAAAGTTCCAACCATTGACCTGTCCTCCTGGTCCCTATTTACCCTCACTTTGGATATTGTTCTCATATTACATATATATGTATATATGTGTATATATTTATACATATATTTACCCCACAAATGAATTCAGTCAATCTATACCTGTTGCTCTCCTTTCACTCATTTCACTCAACATAATACACCATGTCAATCCATTTATAAGCAAATTTCATGATTTCCTTCTTCCTAACAGTGACATAGTATTCCATTGTGCAGATGTAGCATAGTTTACATTCAGTCATTCGTTCTCAGGGACTTGTTTCTGACCTTTTGTGATACAGAGCATTCTCATTGGTGTATGGTGATATCTGTTTATTGCTTCCATCTTCAGTTACCTGACAATCAGTGATAATGAGCATTATGGGATGGGAACATTTTATGCAGTGCTCAGAAGGTTCAGGATTATTCAGTCGCTACCAAATTCTGCTCATGTTGCTCATGTGTTGTAAGGAACTGTATTCAGAACCTCAACATGCTAGCATGCTCTCCAACCCACAGAGTATTTTTTATGCCCCGTTAATATTTTTCCCCCTCTGGAGAAAAGTCTTTTCAACAGTTCTCCTTGTTTTGAGGGTAGTCGTTTATTTTTCTATTGGTGAGCATTGTTATTTCTTTATCTTTGATATTAGCCCTTTATCAGATGTATGACAGGTGAATGTTTCTCCCATTGAAAAGAATGTTTTTCTGTTTTAGAAAGTTAATTTCAAAGTTCATAAACTTTAGTTTAATGCTATCCTATTGATTTGTTTATGCTTTAATTTTTCTTTGACAATGCAGTAGAATGTGCAAAGACACCACTGAAAGCAATGATCTAAAGTGCTTGTATATGTTCTCTCTCATATGTTTTATGAATTCAAATCTAATGTTCAAGTTTTTTATTAATTTTGAGTTAATTTTTGTACATGGTGAGAGATGGTGGCTCAATTTCATTCTTTTGCATATAGTTGTCTACTTTTCTTTTCTTGGCATTTTGGGTCACACACAGCAATGCTCAGAGGTTACTCTTGGCTTTACACACAGAAATTACTCCTGGCAATATTTGGGGGAACATATGGGATGCTGGGGATTGAACTTGGTCAGCCACATGCAAGGCAACATCCTAGCTGATGTACTATCACTCTGGCCTCTATAGTTATCTATTTTTTTATACTAAAAATTAGCATCCTTTTGAAAAAAACAAAATTTTATTAAATCATCATGAGATAGTTACAAGCTTTCATGTTTGGGTTACAATCACACAATGATTAAACACCCATCCCTCCACCACTTTTTTTTAAATGTAGGAGTACTACTATTTATTCAGCCACTGATTAGCTGATTGAATTGGGCATAAACTCCACCTTACTTTCTTAAAATTTTTTATAATTTTATCTGTTGAATCACCGTGAGAGCAGTTACAAAGCTTTCGGGTTTAAGTCTCGGTCATACAATGAAACAACTGTACCTTCACCAGTGCCCATTCTCCACCAACAAAAACCCCAGTGTACCCCCATCTCACACCCTCCCCCTACCTGTGGGGCAGATGATTTCCACATTACTCTCTTTCTACTTTGGTCACATTCAATATTTTGACACCACACCCACCATTATTATTTGGGATTTTACCGCAACACTCAGATCTGCTGAAAAGGCAATAGTAGATTATTTGTTTTATATTGCTGGTTAAGAATAACATATGATGTTGTGTGACTGCAGTAGTGGCCATGTAATTCTGAAATTTCGAAATTTTAACAATTAAATCTGGAGGGATTTCTGCCAAAACCTGCT